AGTTTTTAAGAAGAGACTGGACAGCCATTTGTCCGAAATGGTATAGGGTTTCCTGCCTGAGCAGGGGGTTGGACTAGATGACCTTCAAGGTCCCTTCCAACTTTACTACTATTATTATTATTATTATTATTATTATTATTATTATTATTATTATTATTATTATTATTATTATTATTATTATTATTATTATTATTATTATATATTTTAGTGTAATAGGCTTTTATATTAAGTATATAGAAATAATAAAAAAAGAAAAAAAAGTTTAATCAAAAGCTATATGATAAAGTTGTTTGTTTTTTCACCTATATTTTAAGAATTTCCAATAAGCCCTCCTCCTAATGTAAGATTTAGCAGTTCTTTCTCATTTCTCCTATGGTAGCTGAACATATGTTGTATAATGTTGAGGTTTATTAGTCTTTCCATTTCACTACCACTGTTAACTAATATATATTTTTATTTCATACAATATATATATTTATAGTGATGGTTCTAAGCAAACGGGAGTATTTTGTGCTTTGCTAAATCTCTTGGAATGTGCTGAGACTGAAGGCGTAATAGATGTTTTCCAAGTTGTGAAAGCTCTTCGTAGAGCCAGACCAGAAATGGTCTCCTCCTTTGTAAGTAAATTATATTAGTAGTTATTTTATTTTATTTTATTTTCCAAAGTCTATCTCTTCCATTATCATTATCATTCAGTAAGCAAATGTTCAGAGTCCAAACAACAATTGCTTTATTGACTATAATTGCCTTTTGATTTATTTTGGACGGTCATTCAATACTTCAATGTTGAACATTTTTGCTAGTAGTAAAGTAGGAAACACATACTTAGTTGAATCAAAGAAGTAACTACTACTGGATAAATTTGGTTTCTATTCTGTGTATATTTAAGGGAGGAGATACTTCCTGTCCCTGTTGTGGGACCCTCTGCTATATCTCTGTGCTATAGCAGGGAAGGCTAGTGTCAAGAATGAAACTTTGGCAGCTCTGTGCCTCTTCGTTTCAACTTGCCATTAGAGTAGGAGGGGGGAGGTGTTGCTTTAGAATGGGCTAGATGGAGAAACAAAACCTCTACAATTCCGCTGAAGACCACGAGAGCCTGAAACCTTTCCAAGGACACCACAGCAGGTGTGGAGAGGAAGCAGACGGTTCCCATAACAAAGTGAAATTGTTGGACTACGTGAGATGTTGGAGGTTTGGCTGAAGAAATCATTGTTTAATTCTATGAACTAGTGTCTGGGAACCTCAGAGTTAGTTTTGCTTTGACATTACCATGCAGTGTATTCACTAAACAGTAAGATTTTCGGAAACAGGATGAACACGGAGTTTTATTTGGATTCTTGAGCTAGATGTTGACATCTAAATGATGGACAAGCGACGAGCTATAATTTAGGAAATCTTGCCAATGGTTATCCATATCTCTTATTTAAGAATCCATTGTAAAGGCTTCCTGTATTCATGAAAACCAAGTGTGAGAGTAGCAGAAATTTATGAACACTGAAATATATTAACTAATTAAGTCTAGGCAGCACATTGTCTCTTTCTCTCATTTTTTTAGAGCATTATCGTATCATTAAGTGAAACTACTGCTTGGGGAAAGAAAAGAATACCTGATGGGTTTGCACATATGCTAACTCTCTGTTTTTAAATGCCATTTAGGAAGATTATCAGTTTCTATATGATACTATTGCAAGCCTGTATCCTGCCCAGAATGGACAGCTACAAAATGCCCAATGCCATGAACAAATCACTAACATCCAGAAGGAAGCCAAGAAGGAAGAAGAGAATAACTCTTTGGAATCTGATTTCCATCTTATGAGTCAAGAAAATGGAGATGATGCTGAAATGTGCGATGATTTCAAAGGCCAGGATACATCTAGGGAAGCAGAGAGTTCTTTTAATGGACCTACAAATCTGGTTTTAAGTGACATGGCTTAGACCTTGAATCAATCCTCTCCACGTGCTGCAGGGAATCTTCCCGCAAAAGAAAATTGAAACCAGAATATTAGAAATGGGCATTCCTTTACAGCTTGTAAAACTCAAAGGATTATTTTCTTCCAAGGAATAATATTGAAGAATGAGGAACTTTTGAATAGATAGAAGACGACTGTGAATTTTGTATGTGTGTTTGTATGGAGATTTGCCATTTTTAATCACTGGGTATAATCTGGGTATAATCTGTACTTTTAATATTTTTGGAAGTACAGGAAATATAGCTCCAAAAGAAGAAGACTGTTCTACTGTTCCTTGTTGCTGTTGTTTTTAAGAGGAAAGAAAGTTGTTCATGCACATGTTTAGATACATATTTGTCTGTGAAAAAATTCAAGTTGGTATCCAAAAAGAAAGCACAATTGACCTTCTCTGCAGTTGCCGTAGTATATTTTTTCAGATGAGAACTATTAGGCCCATACTTCTAAAATGATTTGGATTTTAAAACAAATTTCTGATATTGCATGAGAGTTATTTATAAATGTCTTGGAATGGGGACCAAAACCCTTCATCTTTGGTCGAAATCCATAGAGATTACATGCTAATGATATACAGGTCTAATTAGGTTTGCCCCATTGGCTCTAATAATCACAAAGTGATTCCGGTTTAAATATGGCGAAAGAATGTAGAATGTTCACTGGAGTCATCGCATACTAAAATGAAATGAACAGATTTCAGTTTTGCAGGTTTACTGGGTAATAATGAATTGAGACAGCTTGGACAAATGTTCACAAAACAAGAGAGGTTTAAAATAAAGTTGATGATCTGGGTTAGCATAAACCTGGTCACAAAATTGGGTAAAGGATCTTAAAAAGTTAAAATGTCTTTGAGTTGAGCTCAGCTACTGAAAGTATGATATCCTTTTTTCAACAGCAACTTTTAAGTGTTTTTGCCAAAGCACAACTTTCTAGTAAAAGTTTTTGACTTGCAAATCTAAACTTGGCCTCAAGATGTCACTGTATGTACAGAAATTCACCTGAATCACCAACAAAACTAAAGTTCAGAATGCTGAAAGCTGGATAAACTTTATTCAGCTAATGTTTTTTAGACATGTTAATACAGAAGTTCTGTTTTGTACTCTTGTTTCTATGGCTTGAATAGAAGTTTTATTTACAAGATGCTCTATTTTATTCTTTATAGTTTATTATTCCTTTGGAAAGCCTGCACTTTGCATTAAATTTTATATGGAAAACAGTTTCAGATATTATATTTTTGAACCGTTCCTAATTTAAAATAAAAATAACGCATAGGATATTTTTTTATAAAAAGAAAGTAAAATTATGATTAAAAACTTCAGGCAATGAAAAAGGCTAAACATACAATACATTATAAATATATAAAATTCATGTTTATGTTTTTAAATGATTATCAATCATCAATCATTAAGTATCCTACCTATAACCTGCTTCAGAAGTTCCGATTGCTACCCCTCCCCGTGGTCATGTGACTATATTTGTACTTAATAACCAGCTCATATTTATGGCCATTTGCAGCATTCCACAGTCACACAACCACATTTTACAATGTTTCAATTGAAAATCAAACCAGTCAATAGTGAACCATTGATCCACATGGCAGTCATTTAATGACCATTGCAAAAAAAGTCATAAAATTGTGTTAGTCACATGGGCAACCTGCTTTACAAGTGTCATGACTTATGACCATGATGGGCAGGCTCTATTTTGGTTGTAAGTCAAGGACTAGCTGTAAGGAAGCTTCTAAATCAGGGGTCTTCAAACATGGCCCTTTTATGACTTGTAGACTTCAACTCCCAGAATTCCTCAGTTAGGCATGCTGAGGAATTCTGGGAGTTGAAGTCCACAAGTCATAAAAGGGCCAAGTTTGAAGAGCCCTGTTCTAAATGAAGGTTTCAGAGGAACAGGCAACAAAAAGTATGCAATTTGCACAATGGAGTAATGGCAAAGGGGTGAGCCAGGAAATCGTAAGGCTATGTGAAGCTTCACATTTTCAGGGGAAACTTTGCTTTCTATCCACAAAAACAGGGAGACTGGCACAGCACCTGCTGGCAACTCCTTAAAATAAATGCAACTTTTCTCTGGATCAAAGGAACTGTGGAGGACAGTTGCATGACTCAGAGGAAAACTACAGCTGCTTTAAAGAGAGGCAGATGGATGTACATGATCACCTCCATAGGCTGGTTAAAGATTACTTGAGAGTGGGTGTCATCTTGCAGTGATGATAAGAAAAAAAGGCTGTTGAGAATATGCATGGTATAGATTAGTGTTTTTTCAATCTTGGTGACTTTAAGACCAGTGAACTTGAATTCCTAGAATTCTCCAGCCAGGATATTGCAGTCCACTTACAGTAGATTATATTTACCAACTTTGAAAAACACCCGTGTAGTTGTAAAGAATGGCAGTCCTGAGAATATTTTTAAAATTAACTGGAAGATTAGATCATTGCCTATTGCTGGCAAGAAATTCCTGCCAGATAATTGTATTCTTTTTGCATTGCATAACCAGAAATATTCTCTCTCTTTTCTAACACTTTTGCTGTCCACTTATTTCTTACTTCCATTTATTCATCTCCTTCTTTGTCCTTCCCATCTTAATGCTGTTCTTTTTATTACTATTTTGTTCTTCTTCTTGTTGTTTTTTTGGAGTTGTGTGTGTGTACATGATATCTAAAATGCAAAGTCATTTGTCTGGGGAAACTATGTATACCAAGTGGACTTCAAACAACTTTTTATTAAGTTGGGGGGGGGGGAGTCTGTACAGCTTCTCTGTCCAATTCTGAAGGTAAATGTTTCTGTTGCACTTCATTAATTAACCACCAGGTTGTGCTAGAATACTTCTAATGTATTGTCATCTTTAAATATTCATTGAAGCAAATACAGCAGAAGGATAAAAAAGCTATATAACCCAATTGTTAATGAAAATAACATTGTGATTGCAAGGGATTTTCTATTGCACTTCTAAAAATATTCAAGATCATCATGGTTAACAGCTGTTTGGACCTGTTTCTATTTCAGGTGTTTTTGATAATATCCTGTCACAGTTATTCAAACTGAGTTTACTGCTGAAATGAATCAAGTGTGTCCAGACAGATGTTCTTCTCTTCCTCTGTCTCCTTCCAATTTTTATTAAGAATTTTAATTACAATGGTGAAATCTAATGCAAACTAAACTTACAGAAAGAGAACAGAATGGGGAACAAAAATGTGCAGAAAAAAGAAAAGAATACAATAAAGAAAAAGAAATATATAAAGAAATGTCTTCCAGCTTTTATCACAACAGGTACAAACAAATTTAGTAACCTATATAAGGTTACAGATATTTCTTCATCTTACGTCCCCTCCCTTGTCTATAAGTAAATACATAAACATCAAGTTTTCCATCCTGGTGTCCGCAAAAAGTCCATAAAGAGTTCCCAGAATATTGCAAAAAGAAATGTCTTATTTTAGCCTTGATAAAATAAACCAATTTTATATTCCTTACTTTTATTTCTAACAGTTTTAATTTTTAACACAGTCAGATATTGTCATGGAATACAGAAAAATTGAACAGAAATCTAATCTTATTGCACAGATTTCTTCAAGACTTTAACAAGCCTCTTTTGTAGATCCAATAAGAAAACATTTTCCAGGTCATTGACTTGGTTTATCATTTGCACTTCTCTTTTAATTTTTAAAACGTTGGCCTATTTCTTTTTTATATCCAGTAAAGTGTCCTTTCCCAAATCATTCCCTTGACATGTCACTTGTAGTTCCACTTCCAATATTTTTTCTATTTTATTAGATAAAATTTGTTCTACATCTGTCATTCTTTCATTAACTTCTTTTAGACATAGTCTACCCATAGAAGCAGATATCATAATTGACAGTGTTGATACTGTAGTTACTAATTTCTGCCACCATTCTTCAAAAAGCTCCTTTAATATTTCTGATGTTATGTTTTGTGTCATTTTTGTAAGTATCAATATTAACTGACATTAAGATCAGGTTTCTAATTTTTTAAAATATTTTTTTGTTCCTTCTAGTGTCTAATTTCTAAAATTATTTACTTATCTTTGTTTTGTTTTGACTTACAATAACCAGAATAGCCAAAATAAGTCTGCTTCCCATGCAAAGCTATTTATTTCAATTTCAAAATCTTACAGCAAAAGTCAATATTCCAAATTTATCTGGACCCCTTAACCCACATATAACTTTTTTTTTGTTCAGAATCTTAGCTTTTTACTGTTTATTTCAAATTCTTTAATTTCCCAATCTTACAATTTTTCTTTTGTTCAGAGGGGAAGAAAAACTCGCCTCGTGATATTTCAAACTTGTTCTGAGGGTCGTTTCAATAGCTTTAAGATGGTCTTTACAGTGAGCAATTTCCGAAAGTGATTAAAACGTGGGATTTGCAAACTAAGTGTCCTTTAAAAGACTCCCTTACAGTTGTGAGCTGGGGGATTAGGCACAGTTAGACTTTTGTGTTGCAGTTCTGAAACATATCACTCTATCCATATTGTTCTCTTCAACGTCCTGCCCTTCTCTACTTGTAGGGTTATTGATCTTTTTCTTCCCAAAACTTTCTGCTGCTCTCCTAGGCTGCTTATAAGTCTTGTAAAGGGCTCAGTAAGGGAATTCTCATTTAAAATATTTATGCTTGTTAATAATGCTATGTAGTATCATAATCGTTTTTTCCCCTAACAAATTCAATTCAAAATGATGAAAACCATTTGTTTCTGAAGCAGGAGCAGGAGATAATTTAAGCAAAATTCTGATAGCTGGAATATTATATTCATGTCCTTAGTTTACTACAAGTTTCCCAAGTATTTGTTAGTTTGTTTTTCTCTCCGGTAACTTGGATCAATCTGCTTCCCCCATTTCAAATAAACCCCAAGAGAACATACTGGATGTTTCTAGATATGTCTAGGAGACTTGGGATGAGACTTCAGCCTTACCAGATGGACTAGACAGGAAACACGGGCTGATGAACTAATTCCATTTTATTGTAAAACCCATTAACAAAATCTTGGAAGTCTGAAAGTGCAACTCTCCTGCTGTCACCTTTACAGCCTGAGAACTTAATGAGAGTTCCCTTCCGAGCTTTTTTCTTTGCCCACTCTGCAGCATCTGACCATCCCCTTTGCCCTGTCCCCCTCAGTCATTCCCATATACCAGAGGTCTGCAACCTTAAATACTCAAAGAGCCACTTGGACCCATTTCCCAGAGAAAAGAAAACACTGGGAGCCGCAAAACACGGGTGCGCACGCGTGTGTGCACCCAAGGGGTGGGGAGCTTGATTGAAGAGTTTAATTAAAAAGAAATAGAGGCTGCTGTGCATGAGTTCTCTCTCTCTTTTTTTTCTCTTTCTCTTTCTTCTCCCCTCCTCTCTTTCTCCTCTCTCTCTTTCCTCTCTCCCTCTCCCTGTCTCTCTTTCTCTCTCCCCCCCCTCTCTCTCCCTCTCTCCGATCTTCTGCTCACCTGGCAAGCTGGCTTCAGGCTGTTCTCCAACAAGCTGACACACATTCTTATTGGGCTGGCTCTCTCCTGCCCTTCTTGCTTCCTGCAGAGATGCAGCAAAGGGAGGAGCCCTGCCCAATAAGCTTGCCAGCTCATCGGAGAACAGCGTGAGGCCACTATCTTTTTTACACACACACACACACACACACACACACACACACACACACACACACAGAGAGAGAGAGAGAGAGAGAGAGAGAGAGAGAGAGAGAGAGAGAGAGAGAGAGAGAAGGGAAGCACAAGTGCCTCTCTCTGTCTCTGTCTCTTTTTCTGCAAATGGCAGAGGAGGCTGGGAGCTGCAGGAGAAGGCTCAAAGAGCCACATGCAGCTCCGGAGCCACGGGTTGCCAACCCGTGCCATATACTCTTACAAAGAGGGTGGGCAAATCTACCCACAACACATCCAACAATATAGCATGCTCAAAAGCACCATCAAAATGTCAAAAACAACAACAACAACACAACAACCCAGAACTCTGTTTCCAGGAGAATAAAAAAAATATCAGATATTGCAAGGTGTGCTTTATCAGATCTTTAATCCTGAAATAAAAATAAAATGCAAACATTTTAAAAAGGGAAATGAATATATTTTGCAAAATGTAAGATCTAGCAACATTCTGGATGCATAAAAGCAAAACACACAAAACTAACCACCTTTATTGTCAATTTTTTGAAATTCAGCACATTGAAGGATGACGCTTCTTCATCT